GTTCTTGAAAATAGCATTAAATTAGATAAGTTAAAGTGGACAAGTTAGTTAAAGACATACAGTAAGTGTATATCAATCCTGAATGATCAAACTCGTATTTTACGAATTTTATTAAGTTTGGTTTCGTTTTGTAATTCGTATTTTGTTAAATGAAATAAAACTTTTTTCTTACAAGATAAACAAAATTCATATTAAGAAAATTGTTTTGGAACGTAAACTCACTTTTTATATGTGAGTCTCGCATAACGGAACCCTAACTACCGCGTTATAAGAGGACTACCAGTAATTGTCTTATTTATGTGCAATTTGAATCAGCTTTAACAACTACGTTCATTGACTAATGGGATTCTTAAATTAAAAATGCTTGAGAGCTATGCATTTTCGCTTCTGCTCCCTTCATGCTTCCAGCAGTTGGTCTCCTATTGTCGGGTTATCAGTGTAACTAACATAACGTACTGTACTGTACCTGTAGTCAGTGGCGGCCTTAGGGGGTGGTGAGCAGGGCAATGGCCCGGGGCCTCGCGCAACAACCAAGTAGAAAAAAGTTGATATTTAAAACTTTTTATTTTATCCTTGGCTATTAGTTATAACAATAAAATAAATTTAATTTATAATGCAGTATATATTAATATTAATAAGTGCCTACTATTTCAATTCACATACTTTGCACAAAGGACAAGGGCCTCGCAAAGATCTGCCGCCCAGAGCCTCGCAATGGATAAGGCCGCCGCTGCCTGTAGTAGCTGGAGTTACCAACCGTCCGGTTTTGAACTGAGCTGTCCGATTCTATGGATCTTACTCGAGATATGACCCTTTCCAGAGTCGTACAGAGCTTATATGGGGGTAAAGCAGGCCCATTTCGCCATATTTTTTATTGAACAAATAAAACACAGAATGTTTCTTTCTTAATAAAAAGTCGTCGTAAAAATAACATTTACTATATATGAACCACTACGAGCCCTAAGTTTTCTTTAGACCCTAGGAGAAAATCTCCAACTCTCACTACCTTTCGATGGCCATGTCTCTCGCATTCTTCTTGATATACTCGTCGAATCGTCGAAATGTAATACCATCAATATTCCATAACTTATACAGTATAGAAGTACGCCTGCCAGCTTTCAAAATTTTTTTATCCACGTGTTCCAAAGATATAAAGCGAAATACAAGCCAGAACATATATACATACATAATGGTACCTACCTGCATGCAAAATTTTCCCGTTATTTGATGTTTTGGAATCAGGACCTTAAAACGACGAGAAATGCAAAAAACCCAAAATTTGAGCGATTACAATACTTTCTCTGTTACTTTAATAACCGGAAAAGTAATAAAAAGTTTATGAAATCAACTCTATTGTAAGAAGGATACTGACGAAAATTTACCGTAATTAAAGAAATGAGTAATTTTTAATATTAGATATTAGTATTAACTAGATAATTTTTAGTGAGTTTGAATATTGTTATACCTAATTAATTTATACTCGTATTTTATACGGATATAATAGCCTATAAGTTATATAATTTATCTATCTGTTGAAAATAATGCGTTGACAGCCCTCAGATGAAATTTATATAAATGTTTTGAACTTCTTATTTATCATACATATATTTTTGAATGAATGAGCTGTGTACCATTTCATTTATAAATAAGTCAGTTTTTTTATTTAATAACTAGATAAAGGATTAATTTGTGATATTGAAAAAAATCCAGTCGTCATTAGTTCATCGGTAATGCGAATGATATCCTAAATTTTTAAAAAATAAATAATACTGTATGTGACATAATGTATTTAGCTTTATTTTACGCTGAATTTAAATGTAAGTTTTAGGTATATTTATATTGGGCGAAACGAATAACTTTTGTCAATTAAACATTATTGAAAATAAATTAATTAAAATTCCAAGACGATAAATATTGCATTACAAAATTCTAATACATAGAAGTACCACATAAGTGTCTTCTTTATTTCATGACGTCCTTTTCACACTTCGGGAAAGAAAGGTCGACTCGCCATAAGGACTGTTTGTTCCCGAAGTGTGAAAAGGACGTCATGAAATAAAGAAGACACTTCTATATATTAGAATTTTGTAATGAAACTTTTGTCAAATTATCTGTTTCATTCGATTAATTAATGATTATATAATAAGAACTTTAACAGTACATCTTTGAATCCGTTGACAGTTCAATTTCCATATCTTTAAAACACTAAAGATTACTGGAACAAATGAATAAATGAATGCTAATGACTAACAATGTCATTCACATTCATTTATCACCTGTATTCATTTGTATAGTTACTGGCAATAAATAGCTACCAGAAATGTAATAATCAGACTATATTACGTAAAGATACTGTCTTAGAGCGAAATTTATAATTTCTGTATCATTAAGGTTTGATTTTGATATTCTGATACTGTTGGAGTATGTGTGTTGGAGCGATAAACATTAATGATTTAAAAGTTATTTTTCTCGCAGCATTTGACCAGAAAACTGCTTATTTCAGTATTGATTGCTTGCTGTTCTCTCAATTAGTTGTATGTTCTTTGGAACTTAGCATAAAGTTGCTATTGAGAACAAATCATACAGGAACACTCATTTTCATGGAAAATGAGTGTTCCTGTATGATTTGTTCTCAATGAGTGTTCCTGTATGATTTGTTCTCAATGAGTGTTCCTGTATGATTTGTTCTCAATGAGTGTTCCTGTATGATTTGTTCCTGTATGATATGAGGAAAATATATAAAAAATATATAAAATATATAAAAAATATGAGGATAATATACAAATATATAAAAAATATGAGGAACACTCATTTTCATGGAAAATGAGTGTTCCTCATATTTTTTATAATTTAGAACGTATATGCATTTCGGGCTCTATGCCCCTCTTCAGTTCTTATATAGTTTTACTGATTTACATAATAAAATAAGAAATTACAGAATGTGTTTAATAATTATTTACATTTAACATACGCGTAACTCATAAGTTTTTAAAAAATAATTACCTAAAAATAATTATAGTGACGATTGGAATAACTAATTATTAAAACCGTGCTTATTTCAGTTTTTTAAATTAGTGTTAATTCTAATGTTTTAAATGTATTATAGATTCTCGAGTATTTAGAATGGTAATAAATGACTCCTATTGATAATTGAAACTCCAAAGAATTTAAATATACTGTATTAAATTTTTAAGATATTTAGGATTTATATGTGCGTATGCAATTGTGAAGACGGGCATTTTCCTTGTCTTTATTATTTATTTATTTTTTTTTTGAGTTTGGTTTTATTGAAACTACGTGTTTCGTAACTGATAATTATGAAAATTACGCTTGTTTGATTTTCCTAGTTTCAAGAAAAGTAAACTAAACAAGGATATTTCTTAACAATATAAATACAATGTTTTAGATTTGTATGTATTTCTTTTTTAAAAAATATTTTTGTGTAAAATTTGTATTTGAGATTAAAATATTCTAGCCAATTTCATGACTCTCTTGAGTAATCCGCTTCCAATTAACCGTGAATCCTTTACACGTGAATTAAAGATTATATTTAGCTCTGTAGATAAGCGTTACTTAATATAATCATTTCATTTTGTTACAACAAAAAATAAATGGCAGTTATTTCAGTTTTTAATATTGATGTAAATTCGATAATTCTGAATGATATTGAATAAAATTTTAGTCTGTTTATTGAATATTTTTCGTTAAAATGCGCGTCACGCTTTTACATTGTTTCGTTTTATCGAATTGAATAAAAATGTAAATTCTCAAAGTTTTCTAACGCATTTCTACAAATTTAAAGAAAATTCTATTGATTCGCATGCTTATTTCACGTAACCAATTGTATTGACGTTAATGATAAAAAAATATATATCAATACATTTTAGAATTGTTTAGAAATCTATTATTTCCTTTATTGTTTTTTCTATTTAGAAAATTTTACATTTTGATGCGAAATAATAAAGTATTTACGTTGATTTCTATAGATTCTATTTACTGAAGACATCTATAAAATATATTTATTGAAATGTTTTGAAGAATAATTGAAAAGAAAGGGGAAAAAACATATTTTTTATTCGAATCTGTCTTTAAATAAACGAATTACTCCTTTAGAAAAGTGTTAAAGGGCTTTCTTTATAACAGAAATGTCACTTAACTATAATTGGCTATGAAAGACTTATCAAATGATCCACTTGAAACACTGATAAAAGCTACATCTCAATATGTCAAACAATAAAATATTTTAAATTCTTTTGATGTTTAGTTATGGTTTGTTAAAATTTTTATGCTTTAATGATATATCATTTTGATTAGGTTACAATTTAATAAGCTTAATATAAATAATAATCTGTTAGAATATTTGATGTGACCCGGATTAATGTCGTTGTCCTAACGTTGTTATCAGCCTTTTAATGTTAGCTCTTTGTCTGCTTTTTTGTAACAGAAACCGCCATATGTTCTAATATATTTTACTAATTTTTCTAATAAGCGTAAACATTGATAATTTACCTTACGGTGCGTCTTGTTAATTCTTAGTGAGTCCAACAGGCGCAATTGTGTTTTTTGTTATAATTCCATAAATATTTTATTATATTAATTTTGTAATGAAATATACTTGTCAGTATATTACTGATAAGCTAGCTTTACTTATTCAAGTGCGGTAATAAAGTTAATAATATAGACGAATACCGACAGATTTATAATTCACTTTAATTCAGCATTAAATCTAATTATGGTATATTTGAAGACGAAAATTTATATTAAGGAAGAGTGGATATAATAATAGAAAGTAATGTGTTACTGTCTACATATAGGATCTTCCGATACAGAACATCTGCACAAATTCAAAAGAAGCAGCTGGTTGTGTGTAGCGCTTTGTCATGCGATCCTATACTTTGAATGTCTACTATTGACTCTCGTAACAATGTGTATAAATTTCGATTTAATTCTCAAAAGAATTGAAAGTAATTTTTTCTCTTTTCCTTTTTAATTTTTGACAGTTTAACATTAACGACTGTTCAACCGCATCGGAGATTTTGATGCTCTTGCCGTAGCAACAAGATTTCTCGTAGTCATGGCAACTTCCATCCAAACTTGTCTTCCCAGCAACACTTGTAAACACGAGATACCTCTCAAGTCATCTACCAGGAGTCCAAACTTCCTACGTTATGGATATTCGAGTATGCCAAGACCTAATTCAGGTAAAAAATAATAATTTTTGAAATTTCGCAAATTGTTTTTGGATTATTATAAAAATAAAATAAAATTTAGTGTTTTTTTAAAAAAAAACTATTAAAAGCTCAACTTTTATTTGTAATTTTTAATAAAACTTTATACATTATTAATATAATAATGTTTATATGTACTATGGATCATTTTAAAAATTAAAACAGTGATCTGATCCTCTTTTATCTTATTTCTTATTTATTTATTTATAAAAGTAATTATTTTAAATTAATATTTTAGTTGGAATTTTTTGATAATTTTACAATAAATAAATAAAATAACAACAAAAAATGCAAAGTAAATTGCAGAAAATAGTGTATAGAAGATACTAGTAGTAAAACTTTTTTTATATTTTCAAGAAAAAAAAAAGTTGTATAATGAAAACTTTCATTTACTACAACTACTCAGATACATTGAATGAAAATTTATATGACAAATTTTCTTCTATTGTAATCGATCAGCCGGTTGAATAATGATTATGTTTATGTCTTCCTGTATTATTATGTTTCCGAAGAAATATTTTTCCTGATTTTGAAGAAAATAAGAAGAAGAAATTGTTTCTCTAAAAATTAAAGGAAAAAAAATGAAATTAATCTTTAATTAATCTAAATAATTTTAAGGTAAAAATTTCAGTACTATAATTTTAAAATTAATTAATGTTATCTGTCGTTTTAGATTATAAAAAGAGAGAAAAATGTTATAAAAAATTTTTAATTTCCTTATTTATGGTTAGGTTATTTTTTAAAATAAAAATTGATTTTTTTTTATTAACATGGTTAGACATAATTATTTTAACAGTAAAAATTCATAATTTATCCGTTAACAGTACAGCTTTATTATTATTATTTTAAAACTTACATCACGCAATAAAGATATTTTCCTATTTTTTAAAAATCTGATAATTCTTATACAGTAAATTAATCATTAAATATTTATTATGTTTTTATTCTAATTTAAAATGTTTTGATGTCTGTAGTCGTTATTATAACAATCTGAATTTTTAATAAGTAATTGGTTAAGGATATTTCGAAACGTAAATAATGCTAATTACCGGATTCTCTGTATCATATTGCAATCTCGTTAAATACATGCAATGGTAATTGTGCTTATTTTTTGAATATCATTTGTATTTTCCACGAATTGTGCTTACTGAAAATGACTTTTTTTTAATCCAAAAGAGGATATGAGTAATAAAATATAGATATATTAATATAATAGCAATTAATAGTATGCAAAATACAATTTATTTTATTACTTATATCCTCTTCTTAATTAACACTATACTAATTAAAAGCTTAAAAATTTATAAATAATCATATAAATTAAAAAACAAATTTAATTAAAATGAAAAAAAATTAGATATTATCTTTGAAACTATATATATAATAAAATTTAAATAATACGCATTTGAAATCTTAACTAAATAATAATTAAAATTATACTGTTTATAATACCCTTGCTAAATTAAAATTTTAGTAATAATATAGTATCTTTGAAATGACATTATTTTATATAAAACATATCTTTATATAGGTTTAAAAGTATGTTTTATAAAGTATCTTTTATAGTTTTTCAGGAAGCGAGGATACGCGACAGAACATGCTAGTTATATGTAGGTTATATATAGAAATTATCTCGTTCAGTTTCAACACGCGGTTAAGTGGGAAAATACAGGGTCAAATGCAGTTTGCATACACATATATATATCTATTATTCTTATATGTAAAATTTAAAAAAAAAAATTAATGTAGAGCAAAAATAGTTTTTTACTGTGAAATATATTAAGCTTATTTAGAGAAGTAATAAAATTAAAGATCGAAATAATTATTCTTTAACTGTAGATTAAATTAAAACTAAATAAATAAGATTATTAGAAAATATCATAATGTATTATTTAAATGTTTAATAAAAATATTAAAAATATTTCTGAAAATTTAGATAGTTCAAATAAGGATAACTTTTTAACAGCATAAATCAGCAGAATTATTAAGCAAATTATTTCAAAACTTTAAAACTTATTTTGATAGGTATATTTTGTAATTATAGTTATAACGACATTTATCCTATGTTAATTGTAATTTAATAACAGAATGCCGACTTTTTGTGGAATTAATAAAATACTACTATAGAAAAGCATCCAAAATCTTAAAATTATTAATAATTTCTAATTTATATTTTCTTTCAACTTCTTAAAATAAAATGCTTAAAATTAATACAGTATTTAAACTTTGAATGAAATATTTGAACTTTGATGAACTTTAATTGATCGTAACAAATTCATCTATTGACAATTGACTTAGCGATAATGTTACCATCGGTCATTAACGAAAATTTGATCCGTTGTAATTTGATTTTCATTTCAGTTTATTTTTATGGATTTTGTTAAGCTATATTTCTGACATTTAAGCTGTTCTATATCAATAAAATGACTGATGGCAACAAATTTTCATTCTAGTATCAAAATTGAAATTTCTATTAATGGTGGTGTCTGTTTATATGTTCTATTTACATATAACTGAAATGTTTGGGATTAATTATAATGAAATCTGTGAGAGTTAATGAATGAAATTTATTTAAGGAAACAGTGCCCAATTTTTATTAACTTTAATTTATTCATACTCTGTATTAAAAAAGCTATTGAAAGTTGAGGCTAAATATTAATTTTATCTTTATTTTAGAATGAAAAAAAAATTGCAAGTTGGAAGCTAAAACTTTACTTTAGTAAATTATTTTTTATTTGATGATTAATTATAATCCTAAATTTATTTTATATTTATTGTAACGCTTAAGTTATTGACATACATAGATAACTATATCCTATTTACAAAACTTCGATAACATAGGTTTCGGAATTAGATCATTATGTTTTACATATATTAAATTGTTTCGATACAATAAAAATTTGAATATTATGTAACGATAGATACACTTCCAAACGCATTATTTAGATTAAATAATGAATCCAGTGTATATACTTTAAATACATTATCATTTAATCTAATGTTATTTTTAGTAACGCTGAAATTACTAAAGATTGTGCGCTAATTCTCTTAAATCTTAATTTCAAAATAGTGAACTAATAAAACTTTGTTAGGAAGTCGAAAGAGCTGGAAGGAAGTAGTTAAACAAAGGAGAGATATACATCAAAATGTAAGAAAAATCATTAAAGAAAAAAATATGAATAATAAGTTCATTGGAAAAATTATGATAAGCGGATCTGAATAGATTTATTATTATTTTTTCATAAATGTATTGTTTCGATGATCCGATAAAGAATATTCTTGGTAGACTTTCCATTGCTTCAAGCCGCTAATTTGCAAATGTTAACACGCAAATCTAATAATCTTATTAAATATTCATTTCTCTCTTTATTGCAGTTAGCTGCTGACAAGAAGTTTAAATAGTTAACCAGCTTTATATTTTTATGTAATGTTTGTTAATTAATTAATAATCATGAAACATTTTGAAAACTTCACGACGTTTTATAGACTTCCGCAGAGACACTTACACCATGAAAGATATGGTATACAATTTTTAAATAAGAATCAAAAGATAGTCTGTAGCTCTTTATTATATTAGAGGATACATTTATTCGATTTGAGTTCGATGGATTTTTTTTAAATTTCAATGGTATATTGAGATGAAAAATTGATTAATTTGATTGTCTTTATTCGTCATATTCAACGAGTTTTTGAGTTCTAGACATCTTGTTAGTTTTTTTTCTGTTAAATTAATTGCATTTGAGCGCGCACAAAATTAGTGTTGAAATTTTATTTTTTTTTATCTCGCTACAATATCAAGTCTTTTTAAACTAGTTAAATTGATAAAGAAGATAGAACTTGTCTTCTTGGTGCCTATAGGGCGGAAAGAATAAAAAGAAAAGATAAAATTCGTATAAGGAACTGATAACATGAATTCATTCAAAGATTTATGTCAATTTGTAATATACAGCATGATTCACAGCTTTTGGTTTTCGTGTTTTAATTTTCAGAACAACGAATTAACAATATAAAATGAAAATTTAATTAGTATTACGTATATATTTTTGTCCATTATCTGGATTATTATTCTTCAAATTTTTAAATATAACGTTTAAAAAATGCCTAGAGTTTTGAACCGAAACCGAAACTGATCCAGCTTGGATGAGATGGTTTGAACTGTCTAAGAGTACGCATTATGTTTACCTTAATTAATCATTTGAAGAAACACATCGATCGATGAAATCATGCGAAAATTCCTATAGAGAGCTGTGTCGAATCTGATATGGTCCCTCACGATTTCATTACTTGATTTCTTTTCTATCATCTATATTGGACCATCCCTCAGCTGTTAGAGAAGTCTTGATTTCCAGTGATTTAAATAGGAGACTGTTTTATTTGATCGAATGTTCACGAAATCTATCTGAAAAAAATCTCGTTATGTTTGGATAAAGTTTGAATTATGAGTTCTTTCTTGTTTTTTTATATTAAGCTGTGCTAAGAAGATTATTAGCTTTATAGAGTACCCTATATTATACTGTAATCCTCATTGAATGACGATCCATGTGTGCTATCTGCAATTGACGATACTGTCCACTATAATATGTAATACACTATAATTTCATACATGACGACACTGTCTTCAGTGGCGCCAACTTATATGGGCTCTTGGGGCTCGGACCCACCTAATAATTTAAGTTCACAGGATAATTTATTTCTTTGTAATTTAGGTGTGGTAGCGTACTTCAATAATATTGTCCCGCCGTTTGTTTTTTTCGAATCACGTAGCTATTTTGAATGTGCACGAGGTCCACGCTAGAAATTCGGATCTGGAAGAAGTTTGACGAATTTATAAGAAATGCATTTAGAAGAAATACAGTTTGCAACACAACGCGCTCTTTAATGGCGACTAATCGTTTTTAGCACATTATTAATCAATGATTTTATAGTTTGAATATCCTAGTTTAGTAAAAGAAAGATGCAAAAGTTACAAGTAC